TGCCGGCGCTCCCGTCTACTTAGCTGCTGTTATGGAATATTTGGCAGCTGAAGTTCTTGAATTGGCTGGCAATGCAGCACGCGATAATAAGAAGACAAGAATCATACCCCGTCATTTACAATTGGCCATCCGTAATGATGAAGAATTAAACAAATTGTTGTCTGGTGTCACAATCGCACAAGGTGGTGTATTACCAAACATCCAAGCTGTCCTTTTGCCTAAGAAAACAGAAAAGAAGGCTTAAACTATATCTTACAACACTATTTCTTTCGAAATTTTCGAACAACAACCGTCCTTTTCAGGACGATCAATTTATTTGATTAAAGAAAACATACTTCATTTCAAACAATTATTATTTATACAAATATTTCTTTGAAAAACGTAACCCATAAAAATGGTTAAAATTGGTTTACAGAAACCATTTCCAAAATAATGTCAAATGAAATATGATTTGGAATCAAGCACCTCCATCTTCCGGCAATCAGAGCAATTCTACTCCATACGTATTAATTCGGTTACTTCCTACACGTACGTGTAAAACATTCTAATTTTAACATTAGCTCTATTTGAGCAATTTTTGGATTAATTATGTTTTAATATCACATTTACGTTTGAAATAAACAATTCATTATAATCATTATTTTCGGTATATACGTATCCTAATTTATTTTAACTAGTTATATATAGTTTGTATATAGTATAAAATGCAATTAAACAATTCTATATATGGTACAAAAACATGTAATTATATTCAAGACTCATCGCATTAAGTAATAAGTACTCATCTCAGAACAATATTTCTGATATATTACTAAACTGAACAGATTTAGTAAAGAATTATAAAACATTCACATTCACATTGCTTCTTTTAATCGCTTTATGACAATATAACTAACAAAGAAAAGGTTGTATGTAATTCTATTAAATTCATCTTAAATATAGATTTTATTTCATATATTTTGGCGCGTAAATGCAAATAAGAAAATTACTCACGTTCCATCTTCATTCCATTTCGGCTTATAGTTTCTTACTCAATTTCACTCACACTCATGCTCATTCGGCTTGGAAGTATATGTATGGATCTTGAGTGTCCTTGGTATGCGTGTGAACTGTACTGACAATTTTGTCAGTTACTTTTTTTTTAAATAAAAAAATGAATGGTATAACAATGCAAGCCTTAAGTATTTTAGTTCACATACCAGTAGGTAGAAATTTTCCCGCCATAATTTTATCTGCCACCAAACGAATCAATAAGATATGGTATATAATTTTAAAAGCATGTGTGTTATTAAAAAAATGTCTTTCTTTCTTTGAAACTTATATCCTGGGTGGTAGGAAACTGATATATTCTAAACAGAAGGAGAATACATAAAACAATAAAATACTCTTAGTTTCTAAATTCTTTTACAATTTAATTCAATTGAGGAACAGATTTAAAAATTAAGTGATTGGGGTATAAATAGTATTTCATTATGAGATATCGGTTTTCAATGTTGTTTCATGCTAAATGTTGTCATGCTAAATCGTATTGAGAATGACAGTACAGAAAAAAAATTTTAAACAATTATTTGTATAATTATTATGATTATTGAAACTAAAAATTAACCGTTATTTAAATACGAAGACATAAAAGAAATAATTATAAAGAAATATTACATACAACTTTGTTATATTTACTTCTATATTTATTTTTATTGAGATATATCTATTTAATAAATAATTGGTGAATTCTTAGATATTTCTACGTCTAAAACTAGTTTGATTAAAAGAATAATTTTGAATACCTACATTAAAACATGTTTCTTGAAAATCTAACTAAGAAAAATTTCTAAAGTTTCTTACTTACATTCAACTTCAATTAATTTTTGTCTTAAAATCTTAATATTTGAAGTCGATAAAAATATTTGTATAAATTACAGTCAAGTATGTGTTCAAATGAATTATTTATCTCAAAAAATGAAAATATTCGGGTCCTGAAAAGGACCATTGGGCAATATAGTGTTAATAGTATTGCATTTTTAAACTAATATTATTTATTTAACCTCCGAAACCGTAGAGGGTGCGACCTTGTCTCTTCAAAGCATATACAACATCCATGGCTGTAACAGTCTTCCTTTTGGCATGTTCTGTATATGTAACTGCATCACGGATCACATTTTCCAGAAATACCTTCAATACACCACGAGTTTCTTCGTAAATCAAACCAGAAATACGCTTAACTCCACCACGGCGAGCCAAACGTCTTATAGCTGGTTTCGTGATACCTTGGATGTTATCACGAAGAACTTTGCGATGACGCTTAGCACCACCTTTTCCCAAACCTTTACCACCTTTACCACGACCAGTCATTTTGAGTTTATAATTTTAGTGCAGATAATACTTGTCTATTCAGACTTAAACAGTAAATAAATTCCACACTAGATATGCACAGTATTTATAGAAAAAATGAACAATACAAAAGATATGAGTGACAATGCTTAAACACAACAAATTACTCAAAAATGGCACTCAAATAATTGAGGGTAGAAATAAACAATGTAAAGGATATTAAGGATATAATGAACAATGACTGTTTGAACATGTGAACAGTTGAGATGGATCATAAGAGTTTGTTTTGAAATTTACTCTCTCAACATTTATTCGTTAAATTAAATTTTATTTAACAATTTGTTTAATTATGGCTCGTACAAAGCAAACTGCTCGTAAATCGACTGGTGGTAAGGCACCACGTAAACAATTGGCTACTAAGGCCGCACGCAAAAGTGCGCCCGCAACTGGCGGTGTAAAAAAACCACATCGTTATCGTCCGGGAACTGTAGCTTTGCGTGAAATTCGTCGCTATCAAAAGAGTACAGAACTCTTAATTCGCAAACTGCCATTCCAGCGTTTAGTCCGTGAAATTGCACAGGATTTCAAAACTGATTTACGTTTCCAGAGTTCTGCTGTAATGGCTCTCCAAGAAGCTAGCGAAGCATACTTAGTTGGGCTTTTTGAAGATACTAACTTATGCGCTATTCATGCTAAACGCGTAACCATTATGCCAAAAGATATTCAATTGGCGAGACGTATTCGTGGAGAACGTGCTTAAGAAGCAATTTCATACTATTTAATAAACATCGGTCCTTTTCAGGACCAAAATTAATTAAAGAAAAGAGATAGTTAAACATCATATTCAAATTAATAATACTCAGATAAAATGAATATATAAAGATAATTGATTCTCTCATTCTTCTTTGTAACTATAATTTTTGATGATGATCAGCATATAACGCTATATATAAACTTCACACTTATAGCAATTATTGTTGAAGTTATTAGTTTTTTAGCTTTGTTGCTTGTTAAAATTATCAACTTATGATAACAATACTTTTAATAAAAAGTGAAGAACATTCCAAAGTATATAAATTTTGGTATTATAATACAGAAATGTTAATATCAGCATAACTATACTGCCTCCCAATATTCTGCATACCGAGATCTTCCCATTGTGCTTACTTTCCAGTTCATTCAGAGGGATCACTCTCCTGACCCAACTCGTTGCTCAATCGAGAATATAGTAACTCGCTTCACGGAGTATATTCTTAAAGAGTTCAAAACTTTTGTGAATAGATATAATCGATCATAATTTACGTATACCTACTACGTTCTCTAATGTGATTTCACTCGGAAGTCTTTCACAATTTAATAACTGAGATCTCCTCAAGATTTTCTTTAGTGTACCAAGTATATGGCTTTAAAAATTTCTGCGAATAATAATTGACTATTTAATATTTATAATATAGTATATATAAGACGACGGAAATGTGAGAACGAAAGCAGCGTATACAAGCTCGAGAAAGTACTTTGACAGTTTAATGAGTTAAAGAAATAAATGTCCAGGCTAACAAATAGAATGGAGTAAAGGTGCTAAAATAATGCAAAAGTTGAAGTGGGTAATTCATACTGCAATATTTTTCATATTCTAGTTTCTATTGTTAAGTATGGTATACAGTAGAGTCTAGAATATGCCAGTTAATAGAAGAACTAAATGCCTGAAAGGGAAAGTTCAAAAGATTTAAAATTTAATTTATGCCAAAGATCAGTGAATATATTTAAAACTTAATTATATATGGTATTTTTAACACATAAATGAAATATTTTTATAATTTTTTGTTACATACTTTAGGTGAAACATGGCATTTGTGTATTTATTGGAACCTTATACGTATATTATTATCAGTTAGTTATATTCACTTATTTTTTCTGATTATTCAAAATATATATGCTCGAAAATCAGTATTATTTTATTCATTTCTAAAATGTTCATTTATTTGTGAAGTGTATGTTAGTAATTTTAAGATCAATTATCGACTTTAATTAAATATTTTTGTGGTCCTGAAAAGGACCGTTGGAGTTAATGTTGATTGTTCAATACAAAAAAATTTACTTGGAACTGGTATACTTAGTGACAGCTTTAGTACCTTCACTAACTGCGTGCTTAGCCAATTCACCAGGAAGTAAAAGGCGAACTGCAGTTTGAATTTCCCGACTAGTAATTGTGGATCGTTTGTTATAGTGGGCCAAACGTGAAGCTTCAGCAGCAATGCGCTCGAATATATCATTCACAAAGCTGTTCATGATGCTCATAGCCTTGGATGAAATACCAGTATCAGGATGAACTTGCTTCAATACTTTATAAATGTAAATAGCATAACTTTCCTTCCTCCTGCGCTTCTTCTTCTTATCGTTCTTAGTTATATTCTTCTGAGCCTTTCCGTCCTTCTTGACCGCTTTTCCGCTAGTTTTTGGTGGCATGATTTCAAATGTGAAGTTTCAAATTTTCAATTTTATGAATTTTCAAATTTGAACTACCCTCACTCAGAATTTATGTATTTTTAAAACAGAAATTTCAAGAAATTCTCTCTTCACATTAGGGGATGAAAAAGGTATAAATTCTTGGTGTTTGCCTGTTTTCAACTCAGATCACGTAGATCAACTTAACAATCAAATACTATTGAAACATGTCTGGTCGTGGTAAAGGAGGTAAAGTTAAGGGCAAGGCAAAGTCTCGCTCAAATCGTGCTGGATTACAATTTCCAGTTGGTCGCATTCATCGATTGCTGCGAAAAGGCAATTATGCTGAACGCGTTGGTGCCGGCGCTCCCGTCTACTTAGCTGCTGTTATGGAATATTTGGCAGCTGAAGTTCTTGAATTGGCTGGCAATGCAGCACGCGATAATAAGAAGACAAGAATCATACCCCGTCATTTACAATTGGCCATCCGTAATGATGAAGAATTAAACAAATTGTTGTCTGGTGTCACAATCGCACAAGGTGGTGTATTACCAAACATCCAAGCTGTACTTTTGCCTAAGAAAACAGAAAAGAAGGCTTAAACTATATCTTACAACACTATTTCTTTCGAAATTTTCGAACAACAACCGTCCTTTTCAGGACGATCAATTTATTTGATTAAAGAAAACATACTTCATTTCAAACAATTATTATTTATACAAATATTTCTTTGAAAAACGTAACCCATAAAAATGGTTAAAATTGGTTTACAGAAACCATTTCCAAAATAATGTCAAATGAAATATGATTTGGAATCAAGCACCTTCATCTTCCGGCAATCAGAGCAATTCTACTCCATACGTATTAATTCGGTTACTTCCTACACGTACGTGTAAAACATTCTAATTTTAACATTAGCTCTATTTGAGCAATTTGTGGATTAATTATGTTTTAATATCACATTTACGTTTGAAATAAACAATTCATTATAATCATTATTTTCGGTATATACGTATCCTAATTTATTTTAACTAGTTATATATAGTTTGTATATAGTATAAAATGCAATTAAACAATTCTATATATGGTACAAAAACATGTAATTATATTCAAGACTCATCGCATTAAGTAATAAGTACTCATCTCAGAACAATATTTCTGATATATTACTAAACTGAACAGATTTAGTAAAGAATTATAAAACATTCACATTCACATTGCTTCTTTTAATCGCTTTATGACAATATAACTAACAAAGAAAAGGTTGTATGTAATTCTATTAAATTCATCTTAAATATAGATTTTATTTCATATATTTTGGCGCGTAAATGCAAATAAGAAAATTACTCACGTTCCATCTTCATTCCATTTCGGCTTATAGTTTCTTACTCAATTTCACTCACACTCATGCTCATTCGGCTTGGAAGTATATGTATGGATCTTGAGTGTCCTTGGTATGCGTGTGAACTGTACTGACAATTTTGTCAGTTACTTTTTTTTTAAATAAAAAAATGAATGGTATAACAATGCAAGCCTTAAGTATTTTAGTTCACATACCAGTAGGTAGAAATTTTCCCGCCATAATTTTATCTGCCACCAAACGAATCAATAAGATATGGTATATAATTTTAAAAGCATGTGTGTTATTAAAAAAATGTCTTTCTTTCTTTGAAACTTATATCCTGGGTGGTAGGAAACTGATATATTCTAAACAGAAGGAGAATACATAAAACAATAAAATACTCTTAGTTTCTAAATTCTTTTACAATTTAATTCAATTGAGGAACAGATTTAAAAATTAAGTGATTGGGGTATAAATAGTATTTCATTATGAGATATCGGTTTTCAATGTTGTTTCATGCTAAATGTTGTCATGCTAAATCGTATTGAGAATGACAGTACAGAAAAAAAATTTTAAACAATTATTTGTATAATTATTATGATTATTGAAACTAAAAATTAACCGTTATTTAAATACGAAGACATAAAAGAAATAATTATAAGGAAATATTACATACAACTTTGTTATATTTACTTCTATATTTATTTTTATTGAGATATATCTATTTAATAAATAATTGGTGAATTCTTAGATATTTCTACGTCTAAAACTAGTTTGATTAAAAGAATAATTTTGAATACCTACATTAAAACATGTTTCTTGAAAACCTAACTAAGAAAAATTTCTAAAGTTTTTTACTTACATTCAACTTCAATTAATTTTTGTCTTAAAATCTTAATATTTGAAGTCAATAAAAATATTTGTATAAATTACAGTCAAGTATGTGTTCAAATGAATTATTTATCTCAAAAAATGAAAATATTCGGGTCCTGAAAAGGACCATTGGGCAATATAGTGTTAATAGTATTGCATTTTTAAACTAATATTATTTATTTAACCTCCGAAACCGTAGAGGGTGCGACCTTGTCTCTTCAAAGCATATACAACATCCATGGCTGTAACAGTCTTCCTTTTGGCATGTTCTGTATATGTAACTGCATCACGGATCACATTTTCCAGAAATACCTTCAATACACCACGAGTTTCTTCGTAAATCAAACCAGAAATACGCTTAACTCCACCACGGCGAGCCAAACGTCTAATAGCTGGTTTCGTGATACCTTGGATGTTATCACGAAGAACTTTGCGATGACGCTTAGCACCACCTTTTCCCAAACCTTTACCACCTTTACCACGACCAGTCATTTTGAGTTTATAATTTTAGTGCAGATAATACTTGTCTATTCAGACTTAAACAGTAAATAAATTCCACACTAGATATGCACAGTATTTATAGAAAAAATGAACAATACAAAAGATATGAGTGACAATGCTTAAACACAACAAATTACTCAAAAATGGCACTCAAATAATTGAGGGTAGAAATAAACAATGTAAAGGATATTAAGGATATAATGAACAATGACTGTTCGAACATGTGAACAGTTGGGATGGGTCATAAGAGTTTGTTTTGAAATTTACACTCTCAACATTTTTTCGTTAAATTAAATTTTATTTAATTATTTGTTTAATTATGGCTCGTACAAAGCAAACTGCTCGTAAATCGACTGGTGGTAAGGCACCACGTAAACAATTGGCTACTAAGGCCGCACGCAAAAGTGCACCCGCAACTGGCGGTGTAAAAAACCACATCGTTATCGTCCGGGAACTGTAGCTTTGCGTGAAATTCGTCGCTATCAAAAGAGTACAGAACTCTTAATTCGCAAACTGCCATTCCAGCGTTTAGTCCGTGAAATTGCACAGGATTTCAAAACTGATTTACGTTTCCAGAGTTCTGCTGTAATGGCTCTCCAAGAAGCTAGCGAAGCATACTTAGTTGGGCTTTTTGAAGATACTAACTTATGCGCTATTCATGCTAAACGCGTAACCATTATGCCAAAAGATATTCAATTGGCGAGACGTATTCGTGGAGAACGTGC